CACTATGCTGTCGGGCGAGATCACTAAGCCATGGGTTGGCAAGAAGGACAAGTCGGCCCGCATTTCGTATTTCCTAACTTACAGCATGTTCATTCTGGGCCTCATCTTGTCTGGCATTCGCTGTTTCTTTGGCTGGAAAAACGTCGACCTGATTGGACGAACGTGTCTTGTATTCGAGGACAACTTTAGCGGCTCTAGCATCGATTCTAGCGTGTGGACACACGAGGTCGACATGGGTGGCTTCGGGTGGGTGTATTTTCCTGATGCTTTCCTGCGCCGCAGTGTTCTAACGAGAATTTGTCCGCAGGAATGGTGAATTCGAGATGGCGACAGCGTCCTCGAACAATTCGTTTATTCGGAATAATCAATTATACATCCTTCCCACCCTCACGTCAGACGTCATTGGACAAAATGCAGTCTTTAACGGATACACTTTCAACGTAACAGGCTGCACGAACTCGAACCTGACGTCATGCGGCGCAGTCAGCAACAGCACAAGTGGAGCCGTCATCAATCCTGTCATGAGTGCACGTCTTACCACGAAAGGGAAGAAGAGCATTCAGTACGGTCGCGTTGAGGTGCGAGCCAAATTACCAAAGGGGTACGTCGATCGGGGCAATGCCCTTTCCTTCTTGGTCACAAACATTCAACCTGACGCGACCTTCTTGTTTTAGAGACTGGGTTCGTACCTTATTTTCAGTGTTTCAGCTTAACGGCTTAACCCCGTGACCCATTATTCCAGATATGGCCCGCTATTTGGATGCTCCCGGAGAACGACACCTATGGCCCGTGGCCTCTTAGCGGTCAGTTCGAACCGTTCTTTCTTCCGCATGTGGCTCAACTCCCTTTCATCTCAGGCGAGATTGATCTTATGGAATCGCGGGGAAACCTCCCCACATATGCCGGGCAGTACGTAGAACATCTCTGCTTCCGTTCCGCTAAAGACGTTCTTCCGTCTTCACAGAGGAAACAACGTCGTCCGCGGATCACTCAACTGGGGTCCCTTGACATGGTTGAATGCCGTCTACAAGACCTATGGCTGGTGGTCATTGCGGCGGTCCACCTACGCAGACGGCTTCCACACCTATGCCCTCGAATGGGACGAGAAGTTCTTGTGAGATAACTATTTGTTTATTTTACGCGCTGAATTAACTCGCATCATCCCGGACAGGCGTATTTACGTCGACAGTCGTCTTACGTACATGCTCGCCTTGACTTTCAACATTCCCTTCTTCCAGCGCGGCAAGTTCCCAACATCGGTGGCGAACGCCTCACAAGAGATCATCCTCCCCAACCCTTGGGCAAACCGTGGCAACTCGGCTCCTTTCGATCAACGTGCGCTGAAACCACTGAATGGTCCCCTCCGTAGCTGACGATTCCTCTTAATAGCGTTTTACCTTATTCTTGACGTCGCTGTTGGTGGCACCAACGGCTGGTTCCCTGACGGCGTCGGCAACAAGCCATGGTTAAACGGAGCAGACAGTGCGCATTTTTTCTCTCGGTTTTGCGCGCGTACGTTCAGTGACTAAATCCGAATGATGTCTAGACGCAATGCTGCAATTCGCTCAGGCACAAAGCAAATGGTATTCGACCTGGCCTCAGGACGATGACCACCGCGCAATGAGGGTGTACGCACTTCTTCCTTCTTAACCCGCCGTCCATGACTGACACTCGAACAGTGAGTCCGTAAAGATGTGGGAACTGTGCTGAACGAACCTTTGTCCATTGTTTCTGGATTCTCTCATGGGACAATGCACACGGACTAGTTTATTTGTCGTTTAGCGTTGATAGACAATTAGTTATCTTCTCTCTCAGTCTTTTCCATGGTCGATTTTTGTGGGTCCATTGATTGATACACGATTCTGACGTCATCCCCCTTCCTTTGGTTGATGTATATCCTATTCTATGTTACGCTCCGATTACTGTACCCCGAGCAATTCAACCGCTTAGAGCTCTATCGTCAATAATCATCGTGGCAGTCTCGGTAGCACTCCCATTGCTCATATCCAGTAGCTTAAACCTGTGCTTTGGAGTTGCATGCATTTTAATAAATTTATGCTTCTCGTCGAGCGGCGAAGCATTGAACCCAAATCTGCACAGTTTCACGCGTCTCAAGGCGAGATGAGTCTTTACTTTGAGATTCTGGGATCAATTTGCGGGGAAAGGCTGTGCGTGGCGGTGGCTGCCCCGACTCGGAGGACGACAGGTGTCATCGAGGAGCCCCAGGTATAGGCCATGCCCCGACGCCATGCTGTTTCACAAACAATCACAATCAATGTCAACAGTACAGCTGTTGTACTGACACGCCATTCATCTTCGCGCATCACTTCGTACCATTGTAATGATTTACCATTTTTCGTGTCTTCATCACAAGTCAATTGAAGAAGAAAAAAATTCCTTTATTCCGCCTGCATTCCGCCCCACACCTCCTTACGGCGTTCACTTCCCACCTCGCGCGCTACGCGTCTTTGTTCGTGTCTCGCATACGAGTGACTTTTATTTTTGAAAATTCATTTAATTCCGCATTGCCCCACCGTACTTGTGGCTCTCACACTCATACAGCACCTCCTGGACATTCGTGAGAGTTGCGCGTCCTCGGAGTCCAATCAAAGACTGACACCTATCTATCTTGCCTTCCCGATTCTGTCAATAAGCAGCCATATGTATCACAACGGGTGCTTCAATGACATCTCCATGTATGCATGGCATACCTTCGGAGTGCTATCACACACCGGCAGTGGCGGTTGTGGAATCTAACCTTTTCCGGTGCTTCTATCGTCCTCGATGAAGAAGACCTGGGAAGAAATTCTCGTCGAGGACATCGTGTGGGGTGGAAAGGAAGGCGGCGCCGGACGTGGAGCCGCCACAATGAGCAACGTAGTCCATGAGGAAGTGCGAGTGCCCACTCGTCGAGTCGAAGGCCAATCGGGGAGAAGTACCGAGCGTTATCTCCCCAATTAAATGCTAAAGTTGCTTGATGACGCTCCCCATCGCACATAGAAGCACACGCGAGGGCATCGGTCGAGGAAGCAGCACTGCATGGATTCGTCTGAGAGGCAAAGTACGCTTGGACGGCATGTGGATCAAGTTTCGAAAGGAAGCTGCACGTACTGAAGCTGACTGAGGCGCCGCAATGTTTGTGCGGTCTGACTGACTGACGCGAAAACATCGATGGCACGTGACCGCGACTGTCACCGGAGGCATCGGTTCTCCGAGTCCGAGATTACACGTCCGATATCTGTTTTCACTCGAAGCGAAACGTGCAGGGCGAGAGAGGAAACCCCCGACCCGCAAGATAGACAGACAAATTTACCTGCGTAGTCCGCCTTCACCGGCTTCTGTTCTGCGCCACCAAACCAACTCGATGGGCACCTACCCGCTATCCATGCTCCGATAGCCGTAGGTGGCCACATCAAAGATAGGCTGGTCCATGGCCTGTTTCATCCAAGCGACTTCTTTAACAGGCATCGCGCCACAGCGCGATTTCTAGCCTACAACCTGAGAGCACCTGAAATTTATCCGTAAGTATTTCACATTCTGCAAGTGCTCAAATCCACAAGTCTGCCTGCTAGCTGCTAGCGATCGATAGAAGCCGCGTCTGGTGTTGCCCTTTCCTAATTATGATCGCCAAGTCGAGCTTGACGCCTAACACGAGATGTGTCGGATTCGCGTCTCTCTTGCAGTCCTGATCGGAATGGAAGCGAGAGCGCCTTTCCTGTACTTGCAGTTTGATGACGTTTTCTCAACAATTTGCCCATCTTGGGGGACTGCCGTCTCGGTCCACCACTGGTCCACCCCCGAGTATTAATTACGACACGCATGTCCCTTGGCACGCGTCGCGCACATGCGAGAAAACCGAGCGATGCACAGCCCGCTAAGATAGAAGGTATCAGTAAAGCGCGTGTTCCGTGCTTCTCCCGACTATCTCATAAGGGGATCATGTCCGGTGGCTACCATCTTGAGTTGACCCCGCATCAGATTCAATATTGTTCTTGACGATAGGACCCTGCTCGTATGATAAGCGCGACTGACGATACAAAGCGTGGTGACGCACGCAAACCTCTTCACAGGACGGTCAACACACGCACCGGATTACGCTCGTACAGTATGTCTGCAGTGCATCGCCGGCATTGCAGTACCCTCGATAGCGATGTTGTCAGTTCTCCATCAGCCGGCCACGAATATTAACGACGTCAGGCGCCTCCATCCAGTCAGCCCTGACCGCAAGGCCGTTACGTCCGCACAACAACCATCCCTGGGAAGGCGTGGGTGATGTAACCAGGTACCGTCACATTTGCTTGATTCCTATTTGCCCGATAGTGGACAAGATAGATCTAGAACGGGCCAGAACGCCAAGATCCCAGGATCAGGGAAAAAAGGACTAACCACTGCGCGCCTGGTGTGAAAAAATGAGCACAATAAGTTAGAAATGACGTTTATGCTAACTTAGAACCGGTAGACTGGGACCATTGTATCCCGTGTATCACAACGGCTTTCTTGTTCTCCCGGGTCTCCAATGACCGATGACCGACTATTGTTTCTCAGCGATAACGTAGAGTTCCATCAAAGCTGACGAGGAAAGAAGAAGCAGATACGTCCGCGGATATAAAGCGGATCCATGATAAGATTGCAGGCTGTAAGCACGGCTTGGGAACCTTGGGAGTCACACTAGGGGCAACGAGACTATATCCTTGTTATCGAGCGAGCATGACGATAAGCAAGACGAACCCATTTCAATTTAGCTTGGCACGAAGGAAATTAAATGTCATACGACGCGCCCGTCCTTGGGCGCCTGTCTGGATGCTATCCCGTGTCATTTAGTGGACAGCTTTCGATCAAAGGACACGTTGCATTACAGGCACTTGGAGGAGTGACATTCAAAGTGAACGAGTCTAAACTCCAAAATGCGGGTGGAGGAAGGGGAAGGATAATTTTGAAGTGGCGACCAAATTCGAGCTGCAATGTCACCAGATGTTGTTTGTAAGTGATAGTAGATTATATCCGTTATGGTGCAACGGCTAACATACCTCGCTTTCACCGAGGAGATCGGGGTTCGATTCCCCGTAACGGAATTTTTTTTATCGTTCACGCCCCCATCTCCAAACCTCCTGTCCGTGCGAACGTACAAACTCATAAAACAAAGAATATGAACAAGAGACGTTGTATGTCAACTTTGCATATCCGGGTCTGCGGTTCGGACATACGCCGAAAGACAACCTTCGACAAGAGAAGAGAAGCCAGCCTTCTATGTCACTGTAGCCTAGAGGCTTCACTGCTAACTTGGAAGAGAATAGAAGGAATGTTGCTATGATGATGCAATAGCGCGGGAGTAGATAAAGAACCAAAACAGAAAGTTGTTTGGTCTAAGGGGACTAAAAAATAGTCAACTATACGACACGACGAGATAACATCCATTTCCATTTGCCAAGCACCCGAGGTTGCCCTCACGACATTAGTGAATCGTCCATGACCGGATGCCCCATACGTACTGTATCTGCCAGCTGCGACGACTGCTTCCATTTATCTTTATCTTCTCTACTAGGCTCTGCGTTACAGTATCTTTTTTTTTTTTTTTGGACAAGCGATATATTAAGTGGCAGGAGATAGTAACTAGGATAACTACAGTTAGAACTCCTACTAGGGGGTCCCCCTTTTTTAGGACCGTTCGGCATAGGGCCTCCTATTACGAGTTTAGCTGTAATTAACTTGGCTACCTAACAGCCCCACTTAACGCGCTGATGCGGGTCCCCGGGGGGACTCGAGTGGTAAGGGGTAAAATGCTTTGCGCACGCCCTCTTAGGGGCAGTGTGGGACTCAGACTTGCAACGGGGGTACCTTGAAGTTTCTACCCACTAAAAACCCTTTCCTTGAAGTAACCAGTCCTCTGGAATACTGCCGTGATGTTTGATTAGTGCTTTTTCCCAGGTGTTCTTAACTAGTTTTATGTAATCATCTTTTCGCAGTATTTTCATTGCTGCTATCTTGTCTTCAGATAATCTCCTATTGATTGTTTTTCGCCAGACGGCTTCAGTTGTTCTTTCCGTTTGCTCTGTGCCACGGATTGTTCTTTCGCATCTCAGGGCCCATACCAGGTGTGCCGCTTCTGAGATTAGGATCTTTATAAGCCTCGTGGCCCCTGCGTTAGGGGGTGTGGGTTCGGTTGTTTCTGTCGTGCTGCGGCTATCACCTTGGATTTCCGTCCATATGGTGAGTGCCCCGCAGCCTAGTATCGTACCAAGCCTGATTTCCGGCCAGGTGTTTACTTCGTGGGGCCAGATTTTCTTGGCTAGCGACCATATGAGTTGAGTTGACGGGTGTGTACATTCCGTTAGTATATGGTTCATGGATTCATCATCTTCACAGTGTTTGCATGTTGCTCTGTGTTCGAACTCTGTTATATTCAGCCAGTATCTCCCGATTTTGTACGTGCCGTGTATCGCTTTGTAGAAGAACTGTTGGATTTTCAGGCGGATTGGGGGTAACCGTATGTACCCCCAGATGGACGAGTCGGTTTCTATGTCTCCCGTGATGTCTTGTAAGTCTCCCCTGATTTTCTCTAGGTTCAACTGAGTTGTGATTCGTTTGTGAGGCTTGTTCATCTCTCTTATCCCTCGGTAGGCTATAGCCTGTGTCATCGTTGAGAGCTTCGCTCCCTGGACATCGAAGTGTTCTGGTATTGCTAGGTCAAAAACATCTTCTTCTTCTTTCTCCGCTCCCTTCTTTGCTAATTTGTCGCATTCCTCGTTTCCTTTATCTCCGCTGTGCCCTTTTACCCATTGGAAGGTTGTAGGTGCCGATCGTATTCGCAGTAGGTATGCCGCTTTTTTGAACCACTCCTTGTTGCTGATTTCTATCCATCCTCTATCCTCCCAGTTTTTTAGGTGTTTCGTTAGTCCGTCTATCACGTACATGGAGTCCGACACTATTGTTAATGGTGCGTATGTTGGGAAGTTTTCGAGGGCGGCAATAACCGCTGCTAGTTCTCCTACTTGATTCGTTTGGGCTGATCCTGGTATTTTTAGGGCTTTATTTCGCTCGTCTTCCTCGTCGAACCATACTCCTGCTCCCGCTTTCGCGTTCGCTTTTCCATTGTACATGCAAGACCCGTCTGTGTATATGGTCATCTGTTCTTCAGGGATTATTATTCCTCTTGCTGGTTGTTGTCTCTCCGCTGGCACACTTGAGGTTTTTTCTGGGTCTACAAAGGCTCTGAAACAGTCTGCGAGGCTTGTTTTCTCCGTTACTGAGGGGTTGAAGGTGATCTCTTTGTTTTCTTCTCTTGCTGTTTCGTTGTTTTTTAACCTCCTCCTGGTGAGTGATAGGTTGTCTTGGTGCGTTGGGGCTCTCGGGTTCAGCTTAGGGACTAGTTTTTCTATGCGTCGTTGTGCTTCTATTGCGCACTTCTGCGGGTTTTCGCATCCTTTCTCTCGGTCTTCGGTGCAGTCATCGCAGTGGCAGGAGAAGATCGGTGTGTGTATTCCTCTTCTGTAGGCGCCTTTAAGTCTTTCAGTCGTTTTCATGAGGTCTTTCGTTTTTAGGGCATTATGCGTATGTATTAGGCATTTTGTTTGCGCGTTTTGCGGGATCGTCTTTGGATGACCAATGTGCAGCCATGCGGGGAGAGCTCCTTTTAGGTTCCTTGACATACGAACTGGTGCGAAGTCTACGTTATATTTTTTTGCTGCTTTGAGCATTCTTATGATGTCTTCTCCTAGTTTCTCCGCTCTTTTGCCTTTCGTGGGAGCTGACCACTTTTGCATGAACATGTTTTTCCTTGCTTTTTCCGGCAGGTTAGTTGGGGCTAATTCGTTGATGAGTATGTCCGTCATATAAGCCCAGGTTGGTCTGATCGCGTCTTTGCTTAGGTATTCCTTCAGCCAGATGATTTCTATGGCCTCGTTTCTGATTTCTAGATTAAGTAGCTCAATTCCGCCTTCCTGCCTCCTTGCTTGTAGTGATTCGAGGGCGAGCCTCGGGCTTCCAGTGCCACCCCATATGAAGTTTTTCGTTATTTTCATTAGGGCTTTTCTGATATCTTCCGGCATTCCTTGTGCCTTGGTCAGGAATTGTGTTCGTCCTCCTATCACTGCTTGGGCGATTAGTCTCTTTCCGTATATCGATGGGTGAGTGTCATTCCATCTTTGCAGGCCTTTGTTTACATTATCTATTATTGTCTCCCAAGGCGCTGTGTCATGAGTTTCGTTTCCCACCCACGCCCCTAGGGACCTTATTGCTTCTCCTTCGGCTGCTATATGGACGTCGCTTTTGATGGGATTGTCGTTTGGGTTTATTCGTCTCGATCTTATCACTCTTTCTCTGTGCGTTTTGGTTCCTATTGGTATTATCTCTGTTTTTTCCTTGTTGAATTTTGCGCCTGATGCTGTGCACCACTCATCTAGGATGTGTATTATGTCATCGAAATTGTCCCTTGCACTTGTGTATAGTACTGTGTCATCCGCGAATAGGTTGATGATTAGTTTGTTTTCAGTACCAGGGATCGTGTACCCCTCCAGTTTTTCCTCTTTCCTTATCATGCATGCTAGGGGTTCGATACCAATGTCAAATAGGAAGCAGGAGATTGGGTCTCCTTGTCTTACTCCACGTTTCACTTTGAATGGGCTGCTCCGTTCGCCATTTATCATTACGACGGTTTCTGCGGTGTTGTATAGGGCTTTTATGGTATTTATGAAATATTGGGGCATATCGAAGGCTTCTAGTGTTCTCCATAGGTATTCGTGTGTTATCCTGTCATATGCTTTTTCCTGGTCGAGGGCGATGATCGCTCCGTCCTGTTCCATTACTTCCGCATATTGTATCATTATCTTTGTGAGTCTTATGTGGTTGAAGATGGATCTTCCGGGTATAAATCCAGCTTGGTCTACGTGTACAATGTGTTTTATGGAGTCGATTAGCTGTAGGGAAAGACCCTTCGTTAGCAATTTGTAGTCTGTGTTTAGTAATGTGATCGGTCTGTAGTTTTCTATGGCTGCTTTGTCTTTCTTTTTATATAGGGGGCACATCCATCCGTCTGTGAATCCTGTGTTGGGTTCCACCCCATGTTCTTGTATGTCTTGGAAAACTGCTGTCAGTGTGCCTACTATGTCGAAACCATCCCTTCCTAGTTTCTTCGCCTCCTCGTATTCCTTATTCATGGTTTTCCAGAGTTCATATGGGCATCCGTCTAGTCCTGTCGCTGATCCGTTCTTCGCTTTCCTTAGTGCTAGCCCCACATATGTTGCGTCTAGGCTTTGGTTTAGGATTGATTCTTGTGGGCTTGGGAATTTCTGATCATCTGGGATGGAGCTTAGCGCGTTCTCCATGGCTTGCTCTCTCATTTGGTGCTCTGCTGGGTTCATGTCTCTGTCTTGTATGTCGTTGTGGTAGCATCTTGCTAGTTCCGCCATTTTGTCTGACCTGGTTTCATGTTTTGTTGGGTTCGAGTTTGGGATCTTCAATTTCAGTAGGACATCTCTTGGTTTCTTTCTTTTGCTCATAGCTGACCACATCCCACCCAGTTTCTCTCCGTGCAGGAGGATTTTTGCTTTGGTTGTGTCACGGTCGTCTTTGCTGTTCTTCCTCTCTAGGTATTCGATTTCGTTGGTTAGGATGGCTTCGTTCCATTGCAATTCCTGGTTTGTTTCGAAGTCTTCGTGCTTCAGAAGGTCTTGTCTATCTTTTTTGATGTTTTTCAGTTTGGTCGCTCTTTTATGATGGGTGTTTTTCGTGATGAATTCTGCCCACTTGATTATGAAGTATTTGAATTTGTTCCACAGGCTTTGTGGGTTCCTTTCGGGTGAGCGGTTATTCGGGTGTCTTATGAGTTCTCTAATTTCTTCTTGTAGTATCATTCCCTTTTCCCGTGCTTTATCTATTATCTTCCTGTTGTTTAGTGCCTTAATTGGGATGGTCCATCGTCCTTTTCCGATGTATGGTGCATTTTTCGGCGCGAACCTCACTGATACAAGCCAGTGATCTGTTTTTACGGTGCTTGGGGTCATCTCCCAGTCGAAGGTGTATTTTGTTTTGTCTTTTGCGACATATACTCTATCAAGGCGTGATCTTATTGTGTTCC